AAAAAAAAAAAAAGAGAGTAGGATTGTCTTAGCTGTGTGTGTATGTACTATGGGTGCTGGGTGGAGCACTTAGAGAAAGCCTAAGAAAGTGGCTTTGCCCTGGGTTCAGTGGATTAATTCATTAATTCTACAAATACAGTTGGCCCTTTGCACTGTGGATTTAATCAACCTCAGTTCAAACATATTTGAAACAATCATGCTCACTTTGGCAGCACATATATTAAAGCTGGAATGATACAGAGAAGATTAGCATAACCCTGTGCAACAATGACAGGCAAATTTGTGAAGCATTTCATATTTTTTCCTTTAGCTATTTGAATAATGCTCTCTGGACGGCCAACATTCCAAAAATGTATTAAAAACTGAAACTCTGACCACCATTTTTATTATCCTTTTACATATTAAACAACTTGAGAATGAAAAAATTTATTTACTTTTTGAGACAGAGCCTCAAGCTGTCCCCCTGGGTATAGTGCGGTGGCATCACAGCAACCTCCAACTCCTGGGCTCAAGCGAGTCTCCTGCCTCTGCCTCCCAAGTAGCTGGGACCACAGGCACCCGCCACAACGCCTGGCTATTTTTTGGTTGCAGCCGTCATTGTTGTTTGGCTGCCAGGGCTGGATTCCGCCAGCTCAGGTGTATGTGGCTGGTGCCTTAGCCATTTGAGCCACAGGCGCTGAGCCGAAAAAATTTTTGAAAAAATAAACCTAGTTGGCAGCGCCTGTGGCTCAAAGGAGTAGGGCGCCGGCCCCATATGCTGCAGGTGGTAGGTTCAAACCCAGCCCCGGCCAAAAAATACTGCAAAAAATAAATGAATAAATAAAAATAAACCTCGTCTGTACTTAACCATATATATACTTTCCCCCCTTATCATTACTCCCTGAACTGTAAAACAACTATTGGCGTTTATGTTGTATTAGATATTGTAAGTAATCTAGAAATGATTTAAAGGGTATGGTATAGGAAGATGTACACAGGTCACATGCAAATACTGTGCCATTTTACATCAGGGACCTGAGCAGATTTTAGCATGGTCCTGGAACCAATCCCCTCACCTACAGAGAGGGAGGAGTATACTTAGAGTGCACATTACATACTGTTCTAGGTGCTGAGGTTACAGAAGTGGACGAAATCCCTGCATGGACATGAACATGCTAGGGGAGAATCAGGGAAAGGCTAAAATTATAATCAAGCAAGTCTTTTTTTTTTTTTTTT